GAGCATTTCTCCACTTTAATGTGAATTTGGGTCTGTGGTGTCATTACAAATCATCCATTTATATCCATCTCTTATGTTTTTTGGTGGTACATTATGTTTTGTATAATTTTTTTATGATGGTTTATGGATGTCTAGTGATGATACATTACTCTGCAATTGTCTCCTATGTGAATCGCAAGGGGGACACTCAGTTATACTCTCTATTTCTACACTCTCAATCTCCTTTTCTTGGTACTTTTTTTACAAGTACATCTAATAACTTGTTATATTCCAAGTGCCCTGAATTCTGTCATGGATTGTCTCTCGAGGCCTGCCAAAATATTACCTCTGGAGTGGTCCCTCATTTCTCTGGTGTTCAAGTGGCCATGCTGTCATCTGGACACACCTCTTCTAGATATTTTTGCCATTTATCCAACATCATCCTTCCCCTTTTCTGATACCCATTTCCTCTTCCCCCCAGCTCTAGCTGTGGATGCATTCAGTCAGGACTGGTCAAACCTTTTTCTTTATGCCTACCTTCCTATTCATCTTCTCCCTCATTTGTTTTCCCTCATTCAGGACATTCCATGTTCAGTCCTCATGATAGCTCTATATGGACTGGCTCAGCTGTGGTTTCCTCTGTTTAATCTTCACAGGCCCTCTTCTCCTCTTTCTCTACATCTGTCATGTTCCCAGCTCATTTAACCTCACTCCTCCCTCTACCATCTGGCAGTATCATCATGATTTCATATGTGGGTTTTTGCCAGTCCCTTGTGAGATGTTTCAGACTTTCATCATGTGTAGCCTTCCTTCTTGTTTATCCACAAAAATGACACACATTCTATAGAGGGTCTCTGCATCATGCCTTCTCCCATTCCCGTCCTTCTGTCCTCCATTTTTTCGAGTTTTTTACATAGCTGTTTGACTGAGGCATATCACTTTCAACCATTGCTGGTTACAGGGCACCTTTGTCTAATACTTTTGGGTTTTCTCATTATCATCATGTATTCTCTCTCCTGACCTTTCTGTGGTTTTTCATTCTTTTTGACCCCTTCATCCTCCTTGTCCTGCAGTCCTTGCTGATTAGGACCTGAATGATGTTCTCCATCTCCTTACACTCCTCTCTTTGTACCATATTTTGCTGAAGTCCTGTTTCTTACTTTTGCCTGTGTCTGTGGGTGATCTGACATGCATGTCATTGCTGCTTCCTGTATTATTTTCCAGTGTTCTGTTCTTCATTATCTTGCTCATGCTTTTCTCCCTCAAATGTCTGTGGCTCCTGAAGGAGACTGCATGTTCACTTCTATATCATTTTTATTCTTGCTCTTTTTTGATTTTCTGTCCCATCTGTGTGGTTCATTGTTATTTGGCCGACAATGCTCCTTTTCATGGTCCATGCTCCTATATCTTTAGTCTTTGGAATTCCTCATCACCCAAAATTATTTTTCCCCATCACCCTCATGGGAGGGCTTCAACAGCTCATCCATCTACCCTATTCTTCATTGGATGTATATTCAATTTGACTTTTTCAGGTCTCCTCTCACCACATCCAATAACTTACTCGCTCTCTGGCTGCTTTCTTCTGTCATCTGTTGGAAGAGATTGAGTGGGCAGGCATGTGGACTGCCCCCACCCCATACTTTTGTTGCACATTATGTTTTTCATCTAGTTGTCTCTTCTTTGGGATATCAGCTTCCTTCTGTTGCCATTCTACATACACCTTGTTGACTCTGACCTGGGTAAGTTCTTTTCCATTTATCTTAACTTTACAGAGGCCTATTTCTACGTGTCAGGATCCCGTTAAGTGGTACATGGTATCTTCCAGGGTATACTTCGATCTGAGTCTTCACCATTCAGCTATTTGGGTGTGAAATGCTCACTGATAAGATAAGGTGTTTCACAAGACCACTGGAGGTATTCTTTTGGTGTATTGCTTCCTAAACAAGGCCAAATCCAGACTGTACCTACTTATGGACTATAATGAGTAAAGCAGTGTTGGGATTGTTACCCATACCTCTTGTTCTGGTTCAGTATACCTGGATTGGCCTGCTTTTTAAAATAGGGTTTTGTGGTCACCCATTGCACAGTTTCAAGGTGTTCCATCCTTTTGGGCTTCCCAACACCCCTCTCTTCTAGTAAGGTACAAGAGACCTTGCTACTCACCAGATCTTAGTCGCTGGGGTGGTGGACCATGGAGACTTCCTCCTGAGTGTGACCAATTCCACTCAGTAGATAGTATGGTAGTGGTGTTCTGTTGGTGTAGATGTGTGAACCCTCCTCCTACTGTGAAATGGACAAAAAAATTCCAGAAATTGCCTGGTGTTGGACTGAGGTTGAACCACCATGTTTTCTTTCCCCCATCCTACCGTTGCCAAGATGTTGGGTTCCTGGGTGTCCTGGTATTGGATGTGTACAAGGTCTGTACACATGAGTACTACTTGGAATGACAGAATGGAAGTTTCTTTTCCCTTCTGCTTCTGGTGTGGAGTTGAAGGTGGTTTGGATCCTCCTCCTACCATGGAATGGATGAAACATACCCAGTGCCACTCTGTTTTTTGGACTGGAGTTGACTTGCCATGCTTAGTTTGATGAGTCCTAACCACCCTACACCATAAAGCACGTCCAGTTTCCATACGATGTTTCTGGACTTGCTTATTTTCCACCCAACATGGCAACACATTTCTACAGTATAACTTGGTACAGAAGGGTTGAAGTATGCCATGAGTGGGCCATTATACTTTCATGGTATAAGGTCATGCTCCATGGGTTCTCTTTTGGTGCTTTTGGAAGGGGACTCATCTAAGTAATTTTTGCATCAGTCCCTTCATCACTTCAGTGTGGGATTCTAGCTATTATATGAGCAGAGGTAAGGTATCGTATCAGAAGTTGACATTTTCCAACAATGAAAATAGATACACTTACTTGTGCTCATTCTTTCCTCTTGTCCTCCCCGCATCTTGCCTTGCCAAATCTCGAAATAATTATTGAACAATCAGTATGGAGGTATTCAGCTGCACTAGGAGGGTGTGTCACACTCCTGTTGGTGGAGTGTTGTCGCATGCTCATTTGCATGTTACAGCACAGCAATAACACATGGAAACACAAGTTTAATTGGGGACTCATTGTTAATGGTGAGTGAAAAATTCTACATAATCGAGGAAAGCTAGTATGTGACAAGTGGTAAGTTTTTATCGGAAATACAGTTTCAGTGTTGGAAAATGTTAACTTTGTTGTCTTTTTAAGTTTGTTTTTCTATTGCAAAAACTTTATAACTTCTTTCTGAATCACACATGCTCATAAAAGACATTGGTCGTGAATTAACCACTTGTTTTGTTACAAATGTCACAAAACACAGCTTTGACTTTGCTCTCATATCTCAGCCACGGATGCTCAAATTTCCAGAAATTTGGCATCCACGATGCATTAGATATTATACTAAGCTGTTGCTAATTGACAAAGTTTTTGATGGGGTTTTTGAAATGTCAGGAACAGTTTTACTGACAAAGATATTTACAGCAACTGAATGAAAACCAAAGGCATACAGTTTAGAAGTGTTTGACTGCACTGTATTGCTTTGTATATGAAATATAGATGAGCTTCCTACAGTAAAGGTAACTTACAACTTTCCTTGTTATGGAACGTTATCTTTACCTCTTTTAACATCAATCCTTCTTTCTTCATCTCTGGAGGCAGTTTTCCACCATCCATTACCAGTTGTAACTATAGAACCAATATCAGTGTTGATCAACACACTGCAAGGTTTTTATCAATAAAACCATGGTCTTCTGGATGGTTTTTTTCAAATAATGAACTTCTTATCTCATTTTGGATATATGAAGTATACCCAACTGAGCTTTGTCCAATACATCCAGTTAATTCCTGTTTTCTTGATTTCTGGTTAGCTCTTTGTTATGCCTTTGGGCTGATTGGGTTCTGTTTCCTTGGCTTAATAACAGCTGTTGGTTTTTTACAGTCTTGGCTGTAATGGCCATGTCTTCCACATCTATGACAGTTACTTCTTTTTTGGTATCCTCTGAGGCTTTTGTCTGCATTTCCTTCAATTTCATGTCTCTTTGTTTGTGGTCTTCTTTAAATTCTTTTATCTGTTTCATCATTGCTAGCAAGGTTTTGATCTTGCTTCTTGCCTGTTGTTGTCATCTTAAACAGTTAAAGTTCAAGTTGAGTCAAAGTTCAGTTATACTTTCACCAAAATAATTCCACATCAGACACTAGAAAAGTTGTTGTTAGCAGGTTGTGTTTTTTTTATTTAGTAAAAGTAATGCAAAATTCAGTCCACATAACAATAAAATTAATTAATTAATTAATTCCTTAACATTTGCTACAACCACTTTTACCTGTAGGTGTAACTTCAAATAAAAAAGTTTCAACAAATGCTGATGAAACTACTGTAGGCCTAATATATTCGTAATATGTAACAGAAATTTCCATGTTTAATGATAACTAGGCCTGACTCACAAATAAACCTACATAAAAACTTTCACTGAACTGCTTTTCTGACACTGAATACTTCCTAACTTCACTAACTGTCTAGTCTTATTTATAAATAATGTACCAGTCTCTCTTGATATTAGATAAATTAGCTTGATTATTACATCCTCATGATTAGCAGCTCTATCTAGCAAACAACTGCATTATAACATTGAAAATATAATTTACAACATTTATTTTTTTCACCTAGATCAAGAACTTGTTGGCATGTAGTTTTATCAGCAATCTTAATACACAATTTTGTGATAACATGATACTTAGCTTTCATATAATGTAAATTTTTTCATCTAGATCAAGAATCTATTGGCTTGTTGTTTTACTAACAGTCTAACGTTTAGTTTGTGATAATATGCTTAACTCTCATAATATAATTTTTTTTACTCAAGTCAGGAATCTTTTAGCTTGTATCTTTATTAACAGTCTAACACAGTTTGTGGCGATGTGTTAGTTAGTATAAACATTTTATGACTCTTTTGGGAAAATTGTGTAACTTTTATTCATGTGGTACTTAGATCCAACGAGAGGCGGATCATCGGTGGGAAAAGGAGAAAATACATTTGGAAGAAATGTACAAGAAACAGAAACAGCAGCTGGAGGCCAGAGTATCTCTTCTAGATTCCTTAAACAAGGTTGTTTTTTTATCTGGTTTTATTTCACAGTGTAAAACTCTTGAAAAGTAAATAATTGTGATGTTTTTCCCACTAAAATTGTAATTTTTTTTTACATCAGAATTACTTTAACTGTTTATTATTATTATTAAGTTTTGTTTAACACTTCCATTGAACCCCTCTACCAACCAGTACTGTTTCATTTTCTATTACCTTTTACAGTTAAATACTTAAAGGTCTCACTAAAATAAAGCACAGACAAATTGCATTGTATAAAAATTCACTAAGTTTGTGTAAGGAAAAGTACATCTGTGTATTTTTTATTAATTATAAAGGGGCCAAGTGTGGCCTGAGTGGGTAATGTGTGGGACTGTGAATCTGAGAGTTTGTAGTTTACATTCTGTAGCTACTAAATCACACCTCACATTTTGGGGTTATGGTCACGTTATAAAATTGATGTTAAAATCCCATTATTTGACTAGAGTAGCTCAAGTATTGGCAGTGGGTACTGTTGTTTAATAGCTGCCTTTTCTATAGTCTATTAGTTGATAATTAGGAACAATTTGTGCAGATAGCCCTTGTATAGTTTTGCGTGAATATGTATGAAATAAACGATTATTTATAATCACTAAATATTATGACATTAAACTGAGAAATTAGATTTATAAATTTGCTTATGAGATAGAAATAAAAGAAAATTAGTGATTCTACAAGAGAGTTAAATGAACTATGTAGAAGAGCAGTAGTGAAATACTATAAGTGTGTTTATCATGTTCTTTTTTGTTTTTCACAAATTGCCAGTAGTTCTCTCTGATGTTTAATACTATATTATTTATAATCAATAGAAAATCAAGGTTTTAATCTGTCAAATGATCTAGTATATTGCATTGTTTTGTTTAAGAAGAATTGCCTATTTTATTCCTATGAGAACCTCTTCGATAAGCTTAGATGAATTTTTAACAGCTCATGGTATCATAGAGGAGATTTTTTTTTTGCAGGTTCTTTTTCTGTGTTCTATGGTGTATTATTTAAATAAATGAAAAAGTAGGATTAAGTTTCATCGTCAGTTGACTAAAAAAAAAATAGAAGAACCAGATAAGTACTTTATTTTTTGATTTTCATCTATATTCTTTATTTATTATTATATAAGTAACTAAAATGTAAAAATTAGAAACTTTTTAGGCTGGATAAGGTAAAACAAAGAATAATAATAATAATAAATATTCAAGTGGTACACTCACAAGTAGCTTGTGTGCATTATGTAATTTTATACTGTAATAGGAGCTGCATGGTCGCCAAGTGATTTACAGCTTGTGTGACAGGAATAGTAGTTAGACATGGTTCATTAAAACAGAAATATTTAAGTAGAAACAGATGTATACTTTTACAAGTTTGAAGCTATTCCGATATGATACTTCCCTCTGCTTGCAAGATTAGCTATTTTCATCCAGTGCTGTCCACTATATGCAAACTTTTTTCTTTACGTATGCCACAAGCCTAATGCTCCCCCCTGTTTGAATCAAATGATTCCAACATGTCTTTCATGCAAATCATCATGCATCACTTCTCCACCAATAGGAGCATGACATGCGAGTTCCTCTTTATGCCTCTACCGAACCATCACTTCTCATTTGGCAATGCTTGTCTTTGGACTTGTTCTTTTGTTTGTTTCAAGTTTAACATTCAACTTTAGTATACTCTCAAAGGGATTTTCATTTAAATTACTTCCAAATTTATTAAGAATGCTTCTTCACTTTAATTTAATCCCAGTTTATTATAGTTGCATTATTATAAATAATTTTGATTTTGGTTGAATCTCCTTGATTATGAATTACGAAGTTCATGTTACCACTTTGGAGGTCCACTTGTGACTAGCACTATGTCACAGGCCTTAGGTGTGGGCAACCTGGCGGGAGATTTATCAGCATTTATTTGCAGGGAAATTGGGGTGCATGAGTTAATCACTGAGAGGCTTTGTGTCATTGGTCTGTCAACAGCCAGTCTTCGAATATCAATGTTCTCAAGCTTTTTGCAGTCCATCAGGAATTGATTCACTTCCTTCCTCTCACCAGACAATATCTGGTGAAGATTCATTCCAACAATTCTATGGTGGTAGCACATATCAATCACCAAGGTGGCACCCAGTCAAGATCTCTGTTTTCATATATTGGATCTCCTTTATTGGGCCCACACGTACCACATTCATCTTATTGCATGTTACATTTTGGGTGCTTTCAATCTCGTAGCAGATCGTCTTTCCCGCCCCGACAAAATTTATCCGATGGAGTAATCTCTACATCCCCTCATATTCTGGTGGCTTTGCAATATGTATGGTTTTCCACATGTTAATGCATGTGGTGATGCCACAGCCCTCAATCACAAATTACTCCTATTTTGTTCCCCTGTACCTCAAACTAAGGCTCTTATGGTCGATGCCTTCAACCAAGATTGGTCCCACAAATGATTTTATGTTTATCCTCCTATCTGATTACTTCATTGGGTGGTCTCTCATCCATACCACTCCATGTCGAGTTCTTCTGATTGCTCCCTGTTGGCCAGCTCAACCGTGGTTTCAGGGGCCCTTTCTTTCTTTATTCTTTATAGATTCCGCTATGTGACATGTGGTGCCTCACCAGGTATTCTTTAATCAGAAATTTGCACTGTACAGCCATGTTGACTCACGCTTTAACTTCCATGGATTTGCAATGCTCACCGTTGAAATGGGATGTTTCACAAGATTGCTTGTAGGTGAATAACCTTGCAATATAATTACTTCTTAAACTTGCATGGGTAAAGCAGAAGGCGATAGCTCCCCAACCCTGCTATGCCTTGTATTGAATAAATTGTTATGGTCTACTTTTCAAAATAGGGTTTTGTAATCACCCATTGCACTGTCTCAGGTGATGATATTCCTACAGACTCTCCAACATATTCTCACTCCCCTTTCTTCCAGTGGAGTATGGAAGTCCTTACTACATTTAAGTTCCATACCACCGGGGTGGTCGACCATGGAAGCACCCTCCTGAATGGGTTCCACACAAAGATGACTATAACCATTCAGTGCATAGTAGGGTGGTGGTGTTCTGCATTATATAATCACTAAGGAGTGAGATGCCGTGTGGATGTAAGTACCACGTGGCTGGGTTTTGGATTTAGAGTAGAACCAATCAACATCTTCCTCACTCAATTTCCTCCTTCTGTATTGTGAGTCACAGCGGAGGTAAGAGAAATTGTTCCGGTTCTGTCCTTTTTGCTGTCCCTTGTGTATCTTATTCCAAGGATGTTACTACTTTTTGGATGGTTCTGGTCAGTTTGGCTAATGGGGGAGTTGATTTATATTTAATAGATATCCTTTCAATACCTGGATTGATATATCAAAGCTAAAACATGTCATGATCTGGAGTCAGAGTGGTTCTAGATTCCCTCTGATCTCTTGAACAGGAGGTGAAGATGGTATGATCCTCATCCTACCTCTGCATGGATGTTGGTTCCCAGTGGCATGGGTTTTTGATGTAGTTGACTTACCGAGTATGGTCTGTAATGCCATAGTCACTCCACACCTAGGGGCACATCCATTGATTTACCCACTTTTATAATTTGTAGGAATAAGTTCAAGAGTATACCTGGTCAGAAGTGGTGCCATTCCCCTCATTAGATCTTCAGATCTGACTCTCTCATTTCCTTTGGATGCTTTTGGGATATACTTCTGGCATTCCCTCGCACAGTCTCTCAACCTAATCAGTATGAGATTCTTACTAATCTTGTGAGAAGAAGGAAGTACCGTATCGGAAGTTATAAATTTTCTATACTGAAAATGTATTTCCGTTAGTTACTTCCCTCTGTTCACACTTCCCACCCTTTCTCCCCACTTTTCTCCGGTGCTTGTGTTTTCTGCCAAACTTCGAAGTGATAGTTTGGTAGAGGTGTATAAAGGGAGTCACATGCATCATGTATGTCACGCTCCTATTGGTGGAGAAGTGACGCATGACGATTTGCATGAGATACATGTTGAAATCGTTTGATTCCAATAGGGGGTAGCAGAAGGCTTGTAGCATGTGTAAAGAAAAGAGTTTGCATATAGCGGACAACACTGGACAAAAATAGCTAATCTTGTCAGCAGAGGGAAGTGCCTATTGGAAATACATTTTAAGTATAGGAAAATTATAACTTTAGGATAAACAAAGGTAGTTTCAAGTTACAATTTGAAGTCATTCTAGAAAGTCAAAAAGGGTATTTTAGATGTATTTCAATATTCTTTTTTTTCTGGTGGTTACGAGATCGGTTAAATTGACCAACCTTCCACAGAGAAAACAACATAAAATATAAATTTTTTACTGAAAGAAGACGTTTGAAAATTTTTTAAGAGGTTTTAGAGATTACACAAATGAAATTTGAGATTTTTCAGATGGAAAATGTATTATTAACACACTCAACATGGGCTTGGTCAATTTGACTGACTTTGTGACCTTTTTGTACTCATTTAAAGTTTTTATAGATTTAATACTTATAACTCTCAATATAGTTACAAGTTATTCACATATGAAATTAAAAATACTTTTCCTTATCTCAAAAATCTCAAATTTTCTTTATGTAATCTCTAAAACCTCCTAAATGCATTTCAAACTTTTTTCAATAAACCTTTATCGTTTATCTGTTATTTTCTTTACCCTATTTCAAAATGGGATCAAAATGACCAACCTCGTAACCACCAAAAAAAAATCAAAATAAACCTAAATTAACTTTTTTTCTTTCTAGAATGACTTCAAATTGTAACATGAAACTACATTCATTTATCCTAAGTAGCTCTAAGTTCATAACAGTATACATCTATTTATAATTAAATTTTATTATTTTATTGCCCTTTGAACTGTGTCAAACTCGGGGGAATGTGCTGCTCACATTACAATATCGAATTACATTACCCATAAGCTACTCGCATGCCTCATGAACCATTATAATTATATTATTATTATTACTTATTTTACCTAATCTAGTCTTAAATAACTTAAAAAGATCCGTATTTTTAGATTTTAATTACTCTTTATGTATAATTATAAAAGAAGAAATAAAATATTAACCAATCATCTTTTTTCTTGCAGTTGGGTTTTGAAGAGAGTTAACCCTAAGTTTCTATACTATAGATAGTAATGCACTTAATAAGTTTTCTTTAATTATAAATTGCATCAAAAGAATATAGAATAATAACATGCAAAAAGTAGACAAATTCACTTACCTCTCAAAATTTTTCTGGATTTCTAACTACGCGACAAGAGCCATTACAAATTGATCCAAGCTAGTTGTTAACTTTCCTAAGGGAATGATATTTGTACTCTGTTTGGAAGATAATGTTATACAATATGTTATTTGATAGATGAAAACCTTGACTTTCTATTGGTTATAGGTAATATATAATGAAATGTAAGAGAGAACTATCAATGAATTGTGAAAGAGAGGGTGTGGCAGGAGGAGTCTGATTTTTTTATTCGATAGCTCTGTAACCAACAAAATTGAAGGGTAAAAAATTATGGTTTGTTTTAACAATAACAATTTAATAGTTTATGTTTAATTTCATACTTTTTCAAAGGGTGGTGGATAAAATAGGGATAAGAACATGCTAAGAGAAAATGTGTCACGTGGGTCACACTAGCAGAAATTCAGGATTTTTTTAAAATTTTGCCTTGTAGAATTAAGAAC